CACAGATGGTGAATTCTGATAGTAGAATATAGTATCTGAGAGCTTTCTCTTCAGTGAAAGTCCCTCAGTTTTATAATGTTAAACTAAACAATTAACTAGCATACGAAGTTTAGAAAAAGTAATTTCTGTACTTTTGAAAAGTCTTCTTCCTCTTAGTTTTTATAGCAGTATATAAATATTTGGCATACTTAAGACACCTCATTTTTTATTGTTTCCAGCTCAGAAACAGTAATGTAATCTAGTCTAGTGTACATCCCATTGCTCTCCTAGAACAAAATACAGCAAAAATACAAAGCTGACTACAACCAATACATGATCATGCATCAGCGAGTGTACCAGAAGGCAAAGCCCAATTACACTTGCACTACACTTGGTCCCTCACAGTTCAGGTAGGAATGTCTGTTTCCAAACTGACTAATCTTTTCATCAGGTCAACTCAGAATAGCTACAATACCATTGATAAAAAATTCTTCCTCATATCAAATAATGACATGTCTGAGAAAATTCTATGAAGTTACTCAGCCTAACTCCCCATGTTATCATTATCACCTTTAAGATAATGCAAAGCAACTGAGAATTAGAGAGAAATGAAAAACCTCTGCTACAAAGTACTGGATATGCCAACATATAAATGGGCTGCGGAAGGCAGCATGGCTCTTCAGCTGCTGACACTTAAAGACATTTATTAAATGTGCCCCATGCAGGGAGATACTGCTTAAACTTTTTCCAACTCCTGTTTTCATGCCATGGTTCTATTAAATAATATCTTATGTTTCTAATTCCAGCCTAAACAAACAGATGTAATAATTCATGTCATGTAATAACATTTTTCACTGTGTAACATATCACATTATAAATATATTCCTCAGTGAAGAGATGGCAACAGTCTCCCTGGTGTGAGCTAAGTTAGTCTGATGCTAGAGCAATAGCTAAGTACTTACTGAACAACTGCTCATATCTGCACTCCATCTCCACCACTTCTTTAACCAACAGAAAGTCACCTGCCTTAAATACATGACACTGGGTGTGGGGACAAATGACTTTTTCTAGGGGAGTGTTGGAGTGTCCTGTGAGTCGGCATTAGCACTCATCCCCGTGGCACATCACACCAACCTCAGGTGTATTACGCATCACTTCATAAACACGACCAGAGCATCTGTTGTGTGCTGCTCAGTGCTTTTAGGGAAGTGACTGCTAGGCATGAACTGAAGGCTGAATCCTTAACAATATGGGAGAAAAACAGAGTAACATATAAACATACAAACCACCAAACCCATAATCAGTTTTCACAAATATTTAAATAGGGCAAATGGACACATGTCAGTTTCCAACTTTACTGGAGGAGGTTGTCTGTCAAGAAAACTGCCTTAAGTTAAAATACTTTGGGCAAATATGAAAATGAAAACTCACTGCATAAAATCTTTTGTGAAAAAAAAAAAAACACATGTAAGCCTAATCTCTAGATCTTGTTAGATGTATGTATGTGCATACCGCATACACACACATACACACACACACACACACACACACACACACTTAGATACTTAAAAAGAACCTCAGCTTTGGTTGCAATGTTATACAATTGTGTATCTTGCCTTGTATATTTAAACATAATGTATATTTCATACAAAGTTGTACAGTTCACCCAAATGTGGACAATGCTAAGACAGAGATATGCTAATAATATTCGTCTCCAGCACTTATCAGTTCTGATTTGTTAATTTCCTACAACATGCACAGCACTATGTGATGTCCCAAACCTGTCTGTCTGTCTTACATCTCACATTTGCAGAGAAAACAAAGTCTTAGGAAGCAAAACAGCTGTTGGTTTGCAAAACAACAGTGACTATTTTCCTCAATATGATTTTTAAAGGCTGAGAACATCAACTGAAACAAAGTATAATCTCCTCCACTTGCCCAGAGTGGAAATATAACACAGAAATTCTCTTCATGGCAACATTTATGATACCAGTCTCAATACAACTACAGGACAAGACGCAAGATGGTCCATGTTAGATTTTGCACACTAATAGCTAGCAATAATTAGCATAGTTTGCTTTTTCTTTTTGGCCACAGAATATAAAATGTTGTTGTTCTAAATTGATTAAATCTTCTACACCCTGAGATTAACAACAGCCTAATAAATGCCAGGGTCAGCTCTGTGGCTCATGCTCTTGTTCAGAAAGCATGAACTACATACAGCTAACATCCTTTGAAGCACACTGTTACTTCAGCAGATCAACTTAACTGCCCTTTCTTTTGAAACCAACAGCCTCTAGTTGTTCTGCGGTGACAGGGATGGCCTGAGAATGTGGAGACGTAGGGAGCCTGAGAATTCCCCTCCCACCCTAAAGCCACACAGGAGACACTGGTTTCTATGTCAACTATGAACACAACATAGAGATGTATTATTCAATAATTCTCTGCAAAACACTTTGGAATATTTACTATATATTTTTAAGAAATCATAATGAAAACTATGTGCTATTATGAACTCTGACAGGGCTCCCCTCCCCTTCCACACACAAATTCATAAAACTTGAAATGTCATGTTAGTATTTACCTTTTCTTTTGGTATTAGCCAGTCCCATTCTTCCCCCTTTAACTATCCTACCCCCATGGCTGAATTTGGGAGGAAGGCAGGTTCTTAGAATAAGGCAAAGGGTCACTTGGGACAACACCTGCTCTCTGTCTCGGCAGTGCATGGGGTGCCTGCTTCTCTTCAAGCTCAGGCTGCATAGCTTTTGTATGTCTTCAATAATGCACAGACTTCCCTGTAAGTATGATACCTCCAAAACTCAAAATGTTATCTGTTAGAGAGACAGAGAATTAATTCTAACTCTTGGTATTATTGGTAGGGTACAGAAAAATTGCCAATTGATGAAATATAAATCAAATGATCCTATCTTCTCCGGTCAGTATATCTCACTGTGACACAATAAGCTGATAAAATTTCTACACTTTTTACTCCCTAAACACAAGAGTTCAGCATAAGATAACCTTGTACCACTCATAGAAGTTAGAAAGGCACTCAGGTTAACACAATGTAGTTATTTTAAAGAAGACAGTATGACAGTATGTGGAATTCTTGTGGTCGTTTTTTTTGTTTTTTTTTTTTTTGTTTTTTGTTTTTCTTCTTGCTTACTGCTTCTATGAAACTGAGTTTGCTGAAAATTCCCAGTACCCCAACATGCTTCTCTAGTAAGTAGGAGCTCATTACAGACTATGTGTGTCAGGGGTGGGGGGAACAAACACATTGCTTGGGTTTACAGTTTCATTTAAGACGGATATATGGTTTTCACAATGTTAAAAAAAACTTTAGAATAAAGTATTTGAAAATTTAAGGTAAAATTTTTGAGTAGGAAAATAACAGTAAACCCAAAAAACATTTTGGAGGAAGAAAAAGGGGATGGATTATTTACTATTTGTTTTACAGCTGAATCTTCCCTAACTCAGGGAGCCAACTGAGATGCTCCCTGGTGGTTCTACTCTGAAGTTATATGTGGCCCATGTCACACACCACCTTGTGCTGAGTAAGAGAAAACTGCAAGACTGACAATTTGTAGCAAGTTGTACATGAACACACATGTACACACACACACACACACACACACAGAACTGAGAGGAGCTGAACATTACTGAAGTAATATTGTCTACCACATGCTTTCTACAGACCGCTGCACATAAACTCAAAAGCTTGTTTCTACACTGTATGTTACATAGCCCTTTTCTGAAACTGTAAGTGGCTTCTGGTGATGATCTGTACACATTTACTTCTATGACTGATAATAAATCTGAGCTTGAGCCTCAGCACCAACGAAAACGAAAAGTACTAATGACTTGTTTAGCTTAAGTTAGAGCTGTGCCATTTGAGTAAGAAAGGTGACAGAGCTTCTAAGAAGGTATAAAACCCTTAGACTTAAAAAGTGACCCACACAGGATCAAGGAGTACCTACTAGGTCCTAGTTCAAGCTGGGGATCGGGATGATTCCTGTACACATACACAGCAACAGGTCTCTACAACCCAAGAATTATCCCTGCTGCTCAAATGTGCCTCTGGTGTTGTATGCAAGATCTGCTCTCCAACACCATCTAGTGAAAGAAAACAATATTCCTATCGAGTGGATCTTACTGACTGAGAATTTTTAGTGTAGACAAAGAACAGCTAAGAGAATTCTAGCGCTCCATCTCACGGCTGAGCGTCAACAAATCTAAACAAGGTTATGAAGACACCAAATCTAAAGCTCACTGATGTTACACCGGTGAGCTCTCTGAAAGAATGACATCACTCACTTATAACTCATTAATTTCCTGATCATTATTCCATCACTCATGAGCAAGAGAAATCTTTCCTTTCTTCAAAAAAGCTAATTAATCATTAATAGATAGTTACTAAGTCCTTATGATATGCAAGGCATATGATATAATTGGGCAATATAATTACCAAAATAGACAGACTTTAAAAACAAAGACAGGTAGGGCGGGGTTATGGTGAAGATCACGGATCTTACTGCTTGTTGTGTGTCAATGGTTTTCTTGATCCACAGGAGGAAAATCAGATGCAATGTGTCCATCTAAAGCATCTTTTTCTTTTAACAGCAATATATATGAAGAAGAATAGGACTAAATAAGCCCCTAAGTTAGACATATTTTTTTTTCTACTGCATGAATTCATTTGGTCAAAGACACAGTAGCTTGCTAGTGAGGGTAAATGCCAAACATTTAGGGAAAAGTTACAGGGAAATCCCAAGTCCTGTGAATGAACACTTGAAAATGCTAATTTCAGAAATAATGTAGCATACAAAACCCACACGGAAATGGGATCTTTTAGATATTTGCATTTTTACTACCTACTTCCAGCTTTACTAGGAAGATGCAACCACGGCATATTAGAGGACTTCACCACAGCTTTGGGAAGGCGTGGGCTGAGCCTCAGAAGAAGGCAGCCGGCACCCAGATGATCAAGATGCTGAGTAGGAGATATAAAAAGGCATGAAGCGCTATAAACATGTATCTGATGTCCATAAGGCATAGCCTATGCTCATGTCCTGACATATACTATATCAGAGATAAGCCCTATTATTTGGGACACTAAAGAGGATGCTGAGAAGAAAAGGTAAGACTGAGTCAAGACAGGGTCTGGCCACAAGAGCTGCATGTCATTTGTGTCAATTCTCAATCTCAAAGGACCTACACATCACGTAATGGTTTTCCCTATAGAGGTCCATGTAGAACCTGAGGTATTTAATAATTCAAAATATGCTTTGTATATAGAAGGCTGTGGAATTATGTTCACAATGGCAAGTATATTATCATCTAAATATTACAAGATAGTAAAAACAACTTTGCCCCAAGAAAGCAAGATCTATCTACTGGGGCCAGTAGAAATTTTCTTTCTGGTTTCCTAAGTGTCACCCAGCTCAGCAGTCTGCCACCCAATAACAGCATGATGCCCAAGTAAAAGTTTATTTTTCTCTTAATGCAGTATGCCTAACTCAAGTACAAGTGTCCACCAGAGCAAGGCAGGAGGGTTGTCTTTCCTTCTGTCCCTGTGCCTGCAATGCACATAACCAAGCATGAGAAAGGAGAACATGCCAAACATGATGTCTGGGCTGATTTCTGCAATCATCCTTGCATTTTTCATATATACAGGACAAGAGACAGCTAGTGTTATGTTATGTCAATCTGACCCTAGCTAGAGTTATCTGAGATGAGAGAACCTCAATTGAGAAGATGCTCCATCAGATCCTGCTGTAAACAAGCCTACAGCGGATTAATTAGTGATTGATGGGAGAGGGCCCAGATCACTGTGAGTGGTGCTACTCCTTGGGCTGGTGGTTCTGGGTAAGCAAGAAAGCTGAATGAGCAAGCCATAGAGCAAGTCAGTAAGCAGCACTCCTCCATGGCCACTGTATCAGCTCCTGCCTATAGGTTCCAGCCCTGCTTGAGTTATTGCCCTGAATTCCCTCAGTGATGGACTATTTGTTACCTGCAAGTGTAAGCAAAATCAACTCTTTTCAAGTTGCTTTTGATCATGGCATTTCACTACAGCAATAGAAACTCTAACCAAGACAACCATTAAAAGGGAATTTGAGAGGGGCACCTCTTATTCATACTTTCTGTGTTTATAGATAGGCATTAAGCTATTGTAACAGTGATAATAGCTTCTGTGGGCATCCCTGAAAAAAGAACATGAGAAAAAACTACAGCCCAGTGAGTGATGTAAAGTACGGAATGGACTGGCAAGATAAAGAGAAGGTGTACACACAGAGGAATCACAGCTCACCCGAAGGGGTGGATGTGGTAAGAAAGGGGACTGGATCTATTCCCACCCTTCTTCTCCAACCTGAACAACACAGCCCTTGTTATTGAGATATAGCTAAGTGTGGACTTTGGTACTTATCCCTGATGAATTTTGTATCAAAGAGCGTTGTTTCATTTTAAAAGTAAAAATTGAACTAAATGCTCAAAACTAGTCTTCCTCCCTAGGTTTTGCCAGTAAACTCTGACTAGCCACTTGACAAAAAACTTTGCAGTTTATCCAGTATAACCTCAGTAACTTACTTATTTATTTATTTTTTTAAAAAAAAGCTTTACAGGACTACATTTCTATGTCCCACTTACATGAGTGACTTTAGAAGGACAAAATAGTAATAACTAAAAATGGCATTTGTGGAATTTTTAAAAAAGAATTTATTTTATAAGGGCTGACTTGCTGTTTTGGCATATACCAAATATGAGGTAAAAACAATCTATCAAAACTAGTAATAAAAATAATTTTTCAGTACTACAATTACATAAACTCTTAAATTAGTTTAGTTTCTTTTAAATAATCATTTAAAAAATAGATTACATTGGAAGCATTTTTTTTTTCTATATAAATTCCAACACTCCTGGCTTTGGTTCTGAGTGGATAACTGGAGAGCATGCTTGAGAAAGAAGTGGCTGACATTCTCACATCCACCCATCTAGCCATTTTATTCTCAAAATTGCAATTAGAGCAAGTTCTTCTGCATATGTATTAATATTCTTAAGCTGAACTGCAACATAAATTTTCAATTTTTAAAGAAACTGTCTATGTAGCAACTGAACTGAGCTGAGTAAAACATGTGAGCCAATCTCAAGAGACAAACGAGAAGCCCAAGGATGGATGTCGAGAGCCATGGATCAAAGAGGAAAAAAAAGAATTAAGACACTGTTTAGCAGGAAGGAACTATACAATTATCTTATGCCCAAAGGAATGCCGGCTCTTAACAAAATAAATAAAACAAAAGGTTCTTATAGACTTTTAAGCTATCGATGAAGAATACAGTTTATAGTTAGCCAGTCAGTTCATGCAACTATGGCGTTGAGAAAGAAAAGCAATATTGCACTACAGGGAATTTCTTAGGATGAATCCACCCCTTTCACTGACTCAAAGTCACCAGCCATTTCCTGTATGCATTGGCATACCTGGCTTGCTCTACATTCCGGCAAGTGGACAATACTTGATCAATAAAC